CCACCAGTGCCACTCGTTATGGGGACGAATGGTTATGAAAACCAATACCCCAGTAAAAGAAAAAAGGTTCTCCCAATCCCAAAGGACTAAGCCCCAGACCCAGGTCAATATACAAGTCAGATCTTATCCACAAATCACGCTATTGCCAATCCTTTAGAATCTAAAATCTAAAGGTTTATTCATAAAAGAAAGAAATATAGAAGAGTTAAAATTGGTTAAATGGAATCAATTACATACAGTAACGGCGAAGTTCTTGGTTCAGGCTTGTAGCAGTGATGGAATAAACTGCAGGTTCAAATCAAGTCTCTGGAACATCCACAGCTGGGATGGGTCATTCAGTCCTTTGTTCAGAGCTTCAGTTTGTAGCAAAGTTCCTCCAGAGGTCAGAAGCAGGATTGAAGACAAAATGGAGATGATGCTGCTGCCTTTTATAGTCCTTTTGCCATGTGGCTTGTGCTTTTTTTGTTCCAAGCACAAGCTACCCAGCACATGGCATGGAAAGACCTTAGAGTTCTGTCCATAGCCATGTCCCTGCATACCTCGCTGAGTCACAAGGTGTATCTGTTTTCAGAGTAGCAGCCATGTTAATCTGTATCCGCAAAAAGAACAGGAGTACTTGTGGCACCTTAGAGACTAACACATTTATTAGAGCATAAGCTTTCGTGGACTACAGCCCACTTCTTCGGATGCTTATAGAGTGGAATAAATATTGAGGAGAGTAAATATTGAAGGTGTATCTGCCTTCTCTCAATGGGTCAGTTGTATAGCTGATGGTCCTTAATGGGCCATCAAGCAGGCTAGGCAGAGCTAACACCAACTTGTCTGGGGTGTCACCCAGAAGTTTGAAATACAGAAAGTATAGAGCCAATACTTATAACTTTAAATACAAAATGATACATGCATTTAGCTAGCATAATCATAACCAGCAAATCATAACCTTTTTATAAACACCTCACATAACAACCTTTGTACAATATTTGCCACAAATATAGAACAGTTGTTGCAACAATGATCTATACAGTTACAGTTTATGTCAATAACGTCACAGCTTATACAGACAGTCAGACTGAAGTAACAGGCAGGGCCCTGGTGGGATGTCGCCTGCAGGACTGTCCCAGGCTGAGCTGAGGGTTTTGCTGCTCCAGGGTATGTCTAATGGAATCTGCTCTCTCCCACTCTAGGGACTTGAAGCCAGAGAACATCTTGCTGGATGACCATGGTGAGTCGAGGGCCGCAGGTGGGAGAGGAGCCAGGAGTGTGTGGCGGTGCTCTGGCCCTGTGCCTGGACTGTGGGTGCCTCTCTCATTTCCTTGTGTGAATTGGGGCTACGTTGTGCTCACCAGCAGCCGTGGCCTAGCCCGTCGACTCCTGAGCTCCTAATGCTGTTATTCCCGTATTCAGGTCACATTCGTATCTCAGATCTGGGGCTGGCTGTGCACGTGCCCGAGGGCCAGACGATCAAAGGCCGGGTGGGGACCGTTGGCTACATGGGTGAGTATCTCCTGCGACAGGAAATCCGGAAGCTTTGTCCCTGATTTGAAACGTGTTCAATTTGCATAATACCTCCCTCTTCCAAAGTTTGCTCTGTCCCCCACAATGTCCTTCCTGACCATAGAGACCCTGCCTAGAGTATGGCCTCCAACAACCTGCCTGTGGCCATGGAGAGATGGCTAGAGTGACTGCCTAGACCAGTGGCTCTCAACCTTTCCAGACTACTGTCCCCTTTCAGGAGGCTGATTTGTCTTGCACACCCCCAAGTTACATCTCACTTAAAAACTACTGACTTACAAAATCAGACATAGAAATACAGAAGTGTCACAGCCACACTAGTGCTGAAAAATGTCTGACTTTCTCATTACCATATCATTCTACAATAAATCAACTGGAATATAAACATTCTACTTACATTTCAGTGTATGGAGCAGTATAAACAAGTCACTGTATGAAATGTTAGTTTGTACTGACTTCACTACTGCTTTTTACGTAGCGTGTTGTAAAACTAGGCAAATCTCTAGATGAGTTTGGTGTACCCCCTGGAAGACCTCTGCATACCCCCAGGGTACATGTACCCCTGGTTGAGAACCACTGGCCTATACAATGCCACTCTCTTCATCACCCTGGGCTGCATTCTAGCCAGAGCTCCATGTCTGGGGGTGGACTGGGGGCTGTGCTTTTGAGCTAGGTGTCTATGGACAGAGCCCTGGAAGACCCTTGGAATCTCTGATTTAGAATCTTGGCAGTCCTTGAGGATTGCGTAACCATAGGGACATGGTGCTTCACGCACACAGCTCCCCTACACTCCCAATGAAAACAGGAGACGGAAGCAGGGGTGCCCAAAACTAGGAGTCTACTGACAGATCTTAACAGCTCTGGTATCCTCAGCAGGGTTCAAGTGAGGGGATGGTGTGCGTGCTTCCTGAAAATTAGACTGGAGACCTTAGAGCAGAACACTGTAGGCACTTGTTCTACATCCCGCCTGTGACCTGAGGTGCCTAGGGTAGCCCACGCTGAAAACGCCAACGTCAGCGCAGGCTGCAAGGAGAGCAGATTCTCCCCAAACCAGTGGTTAACACCGTAGTTAGATTCACCAACCAGTCACAAACTCTGCTCCTGATCCCCCACACTGGTTATCAAGAAGCCAAAAAAAGAAATCACACAGCCCCCTTTATTGCATTCCAGTCTCTGTCTCTTAATCAGCAAATAGGTCCAGTAAAGTGAGAAGTTATTTAAAACTCTATTTGCTATACAAAATGTTCTTCTGATCCCCAAAGGGCCAGCCACATTCCCAGATCAATACTAGTTTGGATCTGACCCAAAATACCACGCTGCCAGCCAATCCCTTAGTATCTAAAACTAAAGGTTTTTAATAAAAGAAAGGAAAGAGAAGAGTTGTTAAATGGTTGAAGTGATCACATACATACATATGACTTCAGAGTCTATATATCGGGTTCTTAGTGAGTTTGCTGGCTTGTAAAGTCCCTCTGGAACACACCCAAAGCTTGGATGGGTCTGTCAGTCCTTTGTTCAAAGCTTCAGTTTGTAGAGAAGTGAGTCCAATGGTGAGAAGCAGGATTGAAGACAAAATGGAGAAGAGGCAGCTGCCTTTTTAGATCCTTTGCCATGTGGCTTGTGCATTCTTTGTCCCAGACACAAGCTCCCAGCACATGGGCCTGGAAAAGCGCTTGGAGTCCCCTGTCCATAGGCACGTCCTTGTCCCTACATGTCCTGCTGACTCATAGGTGTAGCCCCTGGCTTCTCTCAGTGGAGTCATGTACAGCTGATTGGCCTTGAGGGCCCATCCAACAGGCTGGACAGTGCTGATGCCAGGTTCTCTAGGGGGGTCCCCCAGACACACAGCACAGGTTTGAGTTGCATGTACATCACACACACTTATAACTCGTGATACAAAGATACAGACATACAAACACGATTATCAGACTTAGCAAATCATAACTTTTCCACTGAGACCTTACGTGGCTATCTGGCAAGATTCATTGCAATATTATTATATTGGTATCTTCTAATATAAGTGGTCATCCATATTCATAGATTCTAGGACTGGAAGGGACCTCGAGAGGTCATCAAGTCCAGTCCCCTATCCCCATGGCAGGACCAAATACTGTTTAGACCATCCACAACTTCCCTAGGCAGTTTATTCCAGGGTTTAACCACCCTGACAGTTAGGAACTTTTTCCTACTGTCCAATCTAAACCTCCCTTGCTGCAGTTTAAACCCATTGCTTCTTGTTCTATCCTTAGAGGCTAAGGTGAACAAGTTTTCTCCCTCCTCCTTATGACACCCTTTTAGATACCTGAAAACTGCTATCATGTCCCCTCTCAGTCTTCTCTTTTCCAAACTAAACAAACCCAATTAGAATATTCCATACCGCGTCCCACCTACTGAAGATGATTGTAACATAGCAGTTGAGCAGTGGCACGCAGCCATGGCCGGCAGGTGGAGCCTCCCTTTGGGGAGGCTAGCCCCCGGCTCTGCCCATGCCCTCCCCATGGCCAGAGCCCCGAGACCCCCTGTTTTCCCCCCAACACCAGTGGCCAGAGTCACAAGCCCCTCCCCCACCCGGAGAAGCCCTGAGCTCTCCCCCACCTCGGCTGGAGGAGCCCCGCGCTGGCTGAAGCCGTGCCGTGCCTCCCCTTCCTGGATCCAACTCGCTGTGTCTGTTAGAAGATGCTTTTGATCTGCCCCATGCAGGTTCCGGGGTGACTGAGCAGGCAGTATGTGCCTCCTCAGCCGCCCCAGAACCTGCATGGGGCATAATAAAGCAAAAACTTTGTCGCCAAACCCCGCCACCAATGTCCGGTAGCAGTGCTGGGAGAGGCAGAGCCTCCCCTGGCCTATTCTACCTGCTGCCCATGCGTGCAGCCCAGTATGCCGAGCACCCCCCATCACCGGTGTCCCCTAGCAAAACCATGCCCGGGTACTTGTGGTTGCATAGCCTCAGGGCCGGACAGGTCTCCTGTCATTTTTGACTGGTCACAAACTCATGCTTTTCATATAGTGGCTATTCATCTTTTCCAAGATTCCCCCCAGACACAGGCAGGGCTGGGGCTGTGCCCACATACCCTGACCACGCCGCTCATTCTCAGACTCTGCCAGTGCTGCAGAGCCAGCCAGCTCCCTAGCTGTGCCCCAGGACTTACCCGGGGGGGTTGGAACAATTTGTATAGTGGGGGCGCTGAGAGCCATTGAACCAAACTGAACCCTGGATATGGTGGAAACCCCTTCAAGCCAAGGAGTGCAGCAGCCCTACTTCCAGGGAGAAGAGCTGGGGAATTGCTAAGAGGTGGAGGAGGCTAGAAGTTGACAGCCTGAAAGGCACCT